TTAAATGAAATTAATTAAACATACCCATCACCTTACATATCTATCATTTCTTTGTGGCAAGAATATTCAAAATTACTCTTAGCAATTTTCAAATACAAGCACCTTAATGTTAATCATAGTTACTATGCAGTACAATAGATCACTAAAACTTTACTCCAGTCTAACTGACACTTGGTACACTTTTCCCTGTACCACAATCTCCCCTTCCCTCATCCTCTCCCCCACCTCCAGCCTCCAGTAACCATTCTCTATTTTTAGGAGTTGTTTTTTAGATTCCACATATAACTGGAATCATGCAGTAGTCAAGCCTCCGTTTCTATTAGTTCTGCATCTATAAATTCAATCAACCATAAATTAACAACGATCAGACAAAATATAATGATAAAATATATCGATCTGTACTGAACACATACAAATGTTTTCTTGTTGATTTCTTTTATACAATATAGTAGAACAATAATTTATGTGTATTTATAGTGCAAACTGTATTATAAATAACCCAGAGATTTTTTTGAAATATATGGGGGATGTGCATAAGTTAAATGCAAATATCACATCATTCTATGTAAGAGACTTGAGCATTTAGGTAGATTTAGGTATTTACAGAGTGTCCTGACGCAAGCAACCTATGGATATTGAGGAATAACTATATTTGTTTTTTTGAGATCAGGAGCATTCAGGGTGGTATGGCCACAGACGCCCCATATTTGTTTTTCTATACCTGGCATATTTCACTTAACAAAATGTCCTCCAGGTTCATCCATGAAGTCATACACAATTATTTTTTCAAAGGAGTTGAAATGACTATTTTCCAGAGACTCTGCAATTCCATGTTCATTGTAGCATTATTTACATAGCCAAGATATGAAAGCAACCTAAGTGTCTACTGATGGAGAAGTAGATAAAGGAAGCATGGTATATATACACAAAAGAATACCAGTAACCCTAAAAAATGAAGGGCATTTTGTCATATGCACTGTCACTTGGTTTGATTACAACCCTTAAGTATTAATCCTGGATTTCTTCTGAATTAAAAAACAAGAAAATCAGTCTAGGAAATCAATAAATATGAGCAAAAATCCAAAAGCATATGTTCCATCCCTTCCCAAATACAAAAGTTCTCTTTTCAGAGTTCAACTTTCCCCCTACAAAGTAAGAAAATTTAGATTCTAATGATGAAGTTTCATTAAGATAATCAAGTGTTGAGGTCTTTGCAGGTGTCTCCTTTCTAGAAAGGAGTGCAGTGACACACATTCAGAGGAGCATAGGCAACTTCTGCTAGAAGTGAAGACATAGGAAAAAGCCTTGAGATCAGCACTTGACCTCAAATTCAAGTACAAGGATGTACTTGAAAAGCTCAGTGAGAGTTTGAATGCTTGGCAAGAGATGCACAGGATGTTAAGTCTCTGTATAAGATGGAGTCTCAACAGGGTGAAACGTGTATGACTGTTCAGATAGTGGAGTCAGGGAAGGAGTCCAGGAAAATGTTGTCTCATTTAAAGTACGTCTATTTAAGTATCTCTATGAATACTTCATGGTTCACTAGGAAAGTCTTTTATTTCTGTACATTCAATAAAAACTTCATGCTGTTACTTTCCATTCTACCAAAACAAGCATGATGGGGTCAAGCCAGAATCTTCTCAGTACAATTGTTATGACCCCGTCAGATTCTTGACCGGAAGAATCTGGCAAAAGGCCCTTTAAAAGCTCACAAAAGAGGAATGTGTTGTTGGCCCTGCTAGACTAATACAAAGGAGATCCTATTATGAATGTAACTCATGAACTCACCAGAAATCCTATGACATTTTTGGCCTATAATTTTAGATGCCACTGGGCCTACAAGAATACTTTTTTCCCTTTAAATTCCAGCACTGGTTTATTTACTGAAACCCTGGAGGTCTCTTGAAACTAGCTATTTATCTCTGTTCCTGATAACTGTGAGTCTGTCTACTTTTTCAAGATTCTGTCATCTCCAAAATTGACTCCAGCTTTTTCAAATGTGGAACCAAATACAATAAATGCCCACTCCCTTCTCAACTGGAGTGCAACTTGAGGGGAGCTTTGAAATATATTGTAGTGAATATGAGTTAAGTTTTTATCTCACTCTAACCTGGGCAAAAAGTAACCAGCATAGGGATGGAGGGCCCAGAGAAGAGAGTCAATATGGACTAGAGCCAAAGTCAGAGACTAGTCTGGTGCATTTAGACCATGCCGACTCTGTGAGACAGGTGGATGAAGAGCCTCACTCTAGCAGTTAAGTCAGAAGGGGTGGAATATTCCACTTGATACAATATATTTAACTAGAGACCATAGTCTCTAAATCTTTATCACCCAAATCTGTACCAAACATCTTAATCACAGGCACATCATTTTGGAATTTCCCCTAGTAAGACCCTTTCTTTCAATATCTTTGATGCTGACTTATCAGGCTGACACTTGACTCTCACCAGAGTCAGAGATGTCCACTGAGCTATTCTCAGACAGATCCAGGATGAATAAATTAAGTCAGAAACACTGAACTGACAATGTGGAAGTCTGTTTGTTGGAGACACTAGGTTTTAGTTTATTAAGACAGAGCCTAGTTTATTTTTAAACAAAGCAGTAATTGAACAAATATATGGAAGTCTCTATCATAGCTGGGTCAAGAAATATATACCAGCTGAAAAATATCCATAGCATCCCTCAGATGAAAACATTCCCTTCAGCCAAATGAGTTCCCTTTTTAATCCAGAAATAAGACCTCACTTAACTGGTGTTGGTTAGCCCACATTAATAGAAGAGGACGAAAGTGGAGAACAGTGAGACCTGTTTCTACAGCTTAGTCCTATGCAATGTTGAGTGACTGCACATGGCTTATAGCCAGTGAAGGTGGACAGATAAACATATTCCTCTCAAACTGACCAGTACTGATATTGACCTATGTGGAAATAATGGAATTAGGTTCTCAGAAATAAGGATGCCCCTTTTACACTAATTTTGTCACCATAAATTTTCAAAAGAGAGTCTAGGGTAGTAGGTAGAGAGTTGCACGTCAGTCTCTGAATAGCCCAGTTGCAATGCTGATCTGATGCTGATGATATATATGCAGTAGTTTATTAGGATAAGATATTAGACAAAATACTGCTGTTTTAATTTCTATTATACTTAGACATGCATTTACTGTTCTTGGACAAAACTGGTTAGACCTTGCATCAATTACCCTACAAAATCCAGGACCACATTAAGTTTGGGGGACAGAATTCCCAGTCTCTATGTGTTCAGCTCTTCTTCCAGTTCTCCAATGGAGATCGATTTGCCACAATATGTCTAAGGGACTGATCATGTCATCAGTTAGCCTCTTTTCCAGGGCCTATGTTCAATTTGAAGTCTTTTCACTATCATTTTAAACACAACCAAGGGGGAAACAGGGCTCACAGTACCACTCCTTTGAGTGCAATATTTTAATGAGGTTTTTTTTTTTGTGAAGAGCAGATTTTATGTGTAAACTCTGTTTTCTTCTATATTAATTAATGGATCACATAAATTCAGCAATATTCAATATGCTTGATAGTTTAATCTCCACAAAGCAGCGTTATGCACCTAAAACAAAATTTCAAAGTACAAAATGAAAGGATATTAATATCTATAGAAATTCACAGGTGTTTAAATATGAGTGGTTAGTCGAAGCTCATCCTTTTGCAAGGATGAAGGTTACAGGTCAGAATATGCTTCAAACAATAAAGTGGTAAGCAATGGGTAGATTTTTACTTCATTCCCTCTACACGTTCTAGAGAGGCCTGTCCAAAGACCTTCCCCACACAATCCATAGTTGTACAAAATGTTACTTTTCCCCAAATCTTTCACTAATCTTTATTAATTAGTCTTGAGCAGAAATTTTGATGAGCCACTCACAACTCAGGAAAATAAAGGTTAATCATGTTAAATAATTTGCTGTGTTTCCACATATATGGAAGTCGAGTTTTATAATTCTAAATTCAAAAGATTTCTCCAGTAGTGCTCCAATTCATTTTTTAATTAGCCAAATAATTTCATCAGGTTATTCCTTATTGGTTTAACCTTTCTTACCTGTAAAAACAGTAGTTCAATTATAATAGCTTTTTAAGCAAAGCTAGTTCTAATAGGTATGGTTCCCAGGACTGTTTTTATTACAGGGTTCAGTTTCCTTCTGCTTTGCCAAAAACCACTCACCTAAATGATAACCAGGGGGAAACACCCACTACGCAAACTCTTTCTTATTTCAAGATATATTCCTGGCCAATACAGAAGCTTAACTCCATCTTTCCATTAATAAAGCTGGCCCATCAATGAATAATTCCACAAGAATTTAGCATTTATCTTGATTTAACCAATGTACTAAGTTCTAGGGGTAACATAACCAGAGTCACATCATCACTTCTCAAAGAAAACTGAAGCTCCAGAAGGTGCCGGTCTTACAGGGCTAAACAATACAAAAAGCAAGCAAGTAAACATACACAAATCAAAACCCTGTTGAGCAAACATGCAAAAATGCCCCGATGCTTAAACTAAGCACAAAATTTCCAATCATATTTATGTCTCTACTTTTATATTGATGATTTGTACTGGATATGAAAAATATAAATCTTGAATTTTAAACTGCTTAGAATAAAGAGACTGAATTCCTTAGAAGCATAGTCCAACCTGAATAACCTTTCACTCTATCTGTACTATCAGTGTGTCGTGTAGTATAAAAGTCATTGCCATACAGGCTTTCTAGAAATTTTAACCTACCAGAGCACCCTGGTTTCCGAACCTTCCCTGGCGGGATGTGACATTAGCCACACATCCAATGCTGAGCGGACACTCACAGAGCAAGCACTTGGTGTAGCTAGCTCTCTTCATTCAAGTCCAGATTCCTCATTTCCCTTCCCTTGCTGGGGACTCTCAGGGTGTGTGCGGGGTGGGGCAGGTGGGAGTGGGAAAAGCTGGCAGCAGCGGTCACCATCCTGGTCTGACCACGATAGCGTGAAAATCGCACTTACTTGCTACCAAGTGACAGGTCTCCACCAGGACTTGAGGGAACCCCAAGAAGCAAGGCTCCTGGGAGTCCTTTCCTCCGGGGCTCCCGTCTCTTCAACGACCTCTGGTTCCTCAACTGTTGCTTAGGAGATGTTGCTAGGCTGGCATCTGCCCTCAGCTGCTGCCGCCAGCTGGGCTACCATGCGATGCGCCACTTTACACCGGCCCCTGAGCTGCAAGCTAGGAAAGGAGTCGCCAGGCGGTTCCGCAGCCGCTGACCCCCAACATGGTCCTGCCTAAGTGGCCAGTGGAGCAGCGTCTGCCGGTGGAAAGCTGTTTTTGTCTCTTTCCCACTCCTCCCTCCCGCTCGCAGCCACCCCAAACTCTCCCCCGCCCTCACTCCCAGGCCAGGGCTCCCTTCAGCTCAGGCGTGGGCGGGTGATACCGACACAGAGCAGCTGCAGAGGCAGGACAGCTCGGCTGCGAGTCTTCTCCAGCTGCCTGCGGAGAGAGAGGATGGCAGCAAGAGGCGCGGGGCTTGGGGACTGGGGAGGAGGTGTGTTGTGAGGGGTGTGTGGGGAAAGGAGGATGAAGAGGGGAAGAGAAAGAGAGGAAGGCAGCAACTCGGGTTCATTCTCTCCAATTGTTTTTGCTTTTCCTTTGCCTCGCTGCACCAACAGAGTACCGCAAGACAGTTGTCAGCCTGCAGCCTCCAGAGCTGAACGTTGCTGTAGATTAGTGTGTGACGTGGTTGTTGTTATCTGTAGATATACAGATGTTTAGGAAATAATTGGTTGGAATCACTGTCACCTCTTGCTTTATCTTTTATTTTTTCCACTCTGATGATTTGAAAGATGAGCTACAGAGAAAAATATCACTCATGTTTTGGAATACTGGGGCTCTACAGTGTAGTTTAAGGGGGAAGGAAAGAGATGTTTGTCTTCTTCCCCAAAGGGAGTTTGGAAAATGTTGCCACACCACAGAATATTCATTTTGTAACCCTATCTTGTTTTGACAACACGTCATTTTATCCAAAAATGCATTAACATATCTCTGGATAATAAGAGCATTTTAAGTAACTCAATTCAATCCCATTATCATATTTAAAAAATAGCAATAATGATTTTGGAGTGTCCAACTTGGTTTCTTTTTAAGAGATGACGCATAAATCAACGTATTGTCTTCCCCACCCATTGAGGTCATAAGTGTATTTTCTAGGGCACAGAACCTTCCTTTGGAGCATTTTAAATTATGCTCGCCCAGTAAAATTCCGCGCATCTTTTAATATATTCAAACATAATTTAACATTACAAACCTAATATCAGATATCCTAAAGGTTAAAAAGGATATTTGAAATAATTGAAAGCAATATTACTTTACATAGGTGTAATGAGCAGGTAAATGCCCCCACGATGTACAAACTAGTGTTGTGAACAAGAAGCAAATAAAAGGGAAACTAAAGGCATGGAATTTACAATCTGACTAGGACAAGCAATTTTTGTTGTTGTTTTGAAAAAAAAAATTGCCAATACTCAAATAACATAACTAAGATTGATCTGAGATTTGTACTGCAATGTGTGCTCCTGATAAGTATTCAGCTGAGAAGGGGCTTGCACTGATTTTCTCAGCAGAAAGAGGTGTGTGGTAGGTGAAGCTTGTTTTCCACACTTCTTTCTTAGGGATCATAAAATTGCGTGCTCTAAATTTTGCATTCTAAATATTTGTTTAATAGGAAAAAGTTCTGGATACTTTTGCTCTGCCTTGCAAAGAGAAATCTGCTCTACCACACTATGCTTGAACTAGAAAGGCTCCTGGGAGCATTACTTCCTTGCAGCTTGTTTAAATGGAGGCTGTTGATTAGAACCTCACAGATGTCAGTGTTGAGAATGTGGACAGGGCTTGTACTCTTGATCCACATCCCTACATCTGGGGTTGGCAACTATCTTGTATTAGAGAAGATAAGCCCTCACTCTTCCCAAAACAAACAAATTGGAACTCTCCTCTGAAAAATAGTCTCCCCAGTTGATCAATTTGTTTTTTGATAACAACCCTCTGACTTTATGGATGCTTTTATTTGCTAACAGTTTATTTTGTGTTTACAACCTCCCCTCCATCCAAACTCTTGCTTGTATTCTTAATAACCTTGTCTTAATAACCAATGCCAAAAACAACTTGCATGAAACATCCAATAGCCTAACTTCTGATTTTGTCCCAGTGGCATATACTTTTCTCCATATCACCACAGCTTTATTTCCACATGCACATTTTGAAGCTTGTCATGTTTAGCAACTGCCTTGTTTTTCTCTATGAGACTTATCTGGCATTCTAAATATCTCTTATATATTTTCTGTCATATTGTCCTGGAATGTATGCTGCACAACAGCTCAGATGTGCTTTCTCCTTTACTGTATGCATTAGTGTACAATAGTGCCTTTAACGCAGGTTGGAGTATAGAAAGTACCAAGGTAATCGGCTAAAGGTATGAACACCATGATCTTACCCACTCTGTGCTTCCTGAAGAAGACTGCAGCACTTCACCATAGGAAAAGACCAGAGATCACAGAACACATGAAAGGTGGATAAAAATTGTTTGTTGATTTGACTTCATCATGCCAAATATCTTGTAACTTGAATGCTTCTATAACATAAGAGTGTGAAAATTTCTGATTACAAAAACTTGAAATAAAGCATAGATCTACCAGAAAAGAAATGCTAAGAATGAGAAAGTTCAATATTGTTTGTTGGGAAGGCCAAATGACTCAGAGATATAAATTACTGTGTAACAAAAAAAAAGCTCTCTGTTTCTCTAATATGCATTGTTATAAGAAAAGGAATAATAAAAATTACTGGCAAAGATTTGAAGGGAGAAAGGAGAAACCTTGTATACTGGTGATAGGACTCTTGCACAATATTGATGTGAATCTAAATTAATAGTCACTTTGGAAAAAGGTATGGAGTTTCTTCAAAAAACTAACAACAGTATTACTATATGGTCTAGCATTCTCATTTCTGCATACATATATCCAAAGGAGCTGAGTATGTTGAAGTGATGTTTGCAAGCAAGTGTCCATCAGCTGATGAAAGGATAAAGAAAATGTAGCAGATATACAAAATCAAACACTATGCAGCCTCAAAAAGAAGGAAATTCTGTCATTCACAACAACATGAATTAAACTATAAAACAGAATGCTATTGAATTAAGTCAAGCATAGGAAGAAATATACTGTGTGATCTCATTTATATGTGGAAACTAAAAATAAATGTATCTTATAGAAATAAAAAAAAGAAAAAGTGGCTACCAGAAGCTAAGGGAAGGAAAGGAAAGATGCTGGTTGAAGAGTAAAGTGTTTGTTAGACTGGAAGATTAGGTTTTAGTGACATGTTGTACTGCTTGGTAACCCAGTTAATAATAATATATCACACATTTCAAAATATTTTTAAAACATATTTTAATGTTCTCACTACAAAAATAAGTTGTTAAGGTGCTAAATATGTTAATTGGGTTTAATAAATCCTATCATGTATATGTAGGTCAAAATATTATTATATATCTCATAAATATACACAATTATTTTATTAAAATAAATAAACTGTAAAAATAAGCTCCATTTTCTAAGTAGACAAAACCAATTTCATAACGTTTTCCACTGACAAATTTTGAAACTGTTTTGAATTTCCTGAGTTCCCTAGAATATAAACAAAATCACATTCAGCCAGTTTGAGTTTCTAAAAATCTTCCAAATACATGCATAATCAATAAAAATAGTGGAAAAATATAAATTAAATGCTAGAAATTAGAAAAACATATACCAAACATCTTATGAGTTGGATCCCTCATATGTGTATTCATTTAATAATATTATTTTGGTTTCAGAAATAAAACTACAAAAATTATAGACACATAGAGAGTTTATATTCCAAATATTTCTAACCATGGTACATTCCATTTGCAATTTTACATGCAACATACATCTAGCTAGTAATTCCCAGGAAGCTTGGCAGAAGCCCGAATATTTTTAGGTGAAAAAAGTAGTGCACAAACTAAATAAATCTGAATTAACTATGGACTTGCATAATTATGAATCAATATTATTTCACTAATTATAACAAGTATCCTATAATAACATAATATGTCAATAATAGAGGAAATTGTAAGTTTTAGGATGGGGAGAGATACATGGGAATTGTAACATTCCCAATGACAATAAGAGAGGCAGATATCATGTTTCTTCTAAAGAAGGTATCAATGTCACCTTTGTGGTAGCTTACCAAATCACATAAACTGAATCTAATCAGAAGAATATGCCAGATAAGATCAAATTGAGAAATATTGTACAAAATACCTGGCTACTGCTCTTCAAATGTATAGAGGTCATGAAAAGCTTCTTCAAACCTTTTCAAAGGTTTTCTGCAACTCAATTCCAAAGGCTTCTAAACCACAAGGTCAGGTAGTCACAGTAATGATCCTTCTTCTCTGGTACCCAAATGTGTCTCAATATCTGCAATTTACAGTAAGAGAGGTTCATCTGTACTCATGCTTTCAGTCTGTGGTTGGTTGGCTCCAAGATAGGAATGGCATTGTGGAAGGGCATGGCAGAGGAATGGTGTTCAACCCACAGCAGCCAAGGAGCAGAAAAAGAAGGAGGAGCTGGGGAGAGAGATATGTCTTACCAGGTCAAGCCCATAATCAACTGCCTCTTCCAACCAGTTCCCTCCTCCTAAAAGCACATTTAGCTATGAACCCAGCAGTGGATTAATCCACTGATAAGTACAGCACCCCCATGACCTGTCACCTTCGAAAAGTCCTGCCCTGAACATATACTAGCTTGGGAGGGACATTCTAGATCTAAATCGTAACAGTGCTTTATCCCTTTAAGCAACTTGAAGGAAAAAATTAACTTCAAGTTACATATTTCACTAAAATATTCAAGAAGCAATTCTCCAAAGAGATGTTATCCATATCTTTTTACCTAATCAAGCATGAGTGGAATTTCCAGAAAAGCCACCAGATCTTTAACTGGCTTTTCTCTTGTGAACTGAGTATTTCATTTATAGCTGAGCCTGAGAAATTCACTTCTATCCTCTTTCCAGACTTTACCTACACATTCAGTGAAGTCTTTCACTCAGGCACAGACTCCAACTTGTCTCCTCTTCCCTTTTGACAGTTCTCTCCCAGAAGTGATTGCAACTCTTGCAGAAACAGAATAGAATTATTTTTCAGAACCACTCCCACTACATTACAACTGGTCCTGGGAACAAATCTTGAATGAATCAACAGTCAACTTGGACTGAAGCACACCAGGGAGAGCAACAACTGTCTTGGTTGATAC